CACCCACTTTGTTTACTTTTATATTTTGACCCTAATGTTTTGCCCCTAATATTCTGACCCTCATTTTTTAAACTCCACTTTTTGACCCTTATATTCTGACATTTAGTGTCTGACCCTTATATTACACTTAAGAGGGCTTGCTACAATCCGGCCTGATACAAAAGAATCATCTTCGAATTGAAATACCCATCCCCCAATTGAGTATAATAAAATATACTTGACGCAAGTCTATTTTATATTCAATTCAGATGTTTTTTTTTCCGTGACATTGAATGCGATTTAAGAGGGAAAAATTATGAAATTTCATAGTTTACTGAAAATTCAATGAACCCCCAAATTTTTGAACAGCATCGAGATGAGAATTCCTCCGCTTATTTGAATTTTCTATAAAATCATGACAATTCAGTACCGAATTACGATGCATTTCAATTAATTGAAAATTTCAGAATATATTTACTGCACTTTTTCTGATTTCAACTCATTTTTTGGGAACAATTAAACTGAAATTTACTGTTTTCATTGGTTTCTTCATGAAAGTCTGAATTTCTAATGACGAAGTTTCTTGAAATTTGAGTGAAACTAAAATCTGATAACAATTTCCGAAAAGTGTAGGTACCGGCCGAAAATTTTCAACAGTGAAATAAGGCAATCGGAGAGAAAAATTATATTTCAAAGATTGTATTTGAAATTAGGAAAAAACTTCATGCAAAGGATGGATCTGTCCCTTTATAACAGTGGAATTCGTGAGTTTTCGTAATACAATACGAACACGATGGATACATTTCATGCACACCGTTCAGCCATTTTTATTCAATTTTTTTATTTTTTTTCAACGTTTTTTATCTTCTGTAATAACGATGGTGGAGTGGAATAACGCTAGTGAGAGCATTTACGCCGTTTTTTTCAGACCATCAAATCAAAGATTTGTTTCAACAATGTTACGGACATTGTTTATCAATGATTTGTAAAAACTTTCTGGAATTTCATATTTTTTCAATGAAAATATTTAGCTTCGTTAATATTTTTGCGATTGAGTATCAATGGTGCAAGTATTAAATTGGAAATTCTTCCCCGGACAATTGGATTTCAATTAGTCTGAAATTATTTAGGAAATAATTGATTACATTTGCACACATTCCACGAGCCTTTGAGAGCCAGTAAAATTCCGCTGGATATTGGACTTTCAGAACGATTGAATTACGCTGAATTCCAAATTGTAAATTGAGTAATGACGAGCTCAAAATCTCCGTTTATTTTCGTTTCACGGCAGTGATGAATGCCCGCTGTGAGCTTCGAAAGACATTAATTAAGGCAGCACTGTAATTACGTATTTTCCCATGGCATTGCAATTCACATTAGTGTCAGGTTGATGACGTTTCGACAGGACTGGGTTCTTTGACTATACCACGACGACAGAAGAGTAATAGAAGATGTTGGAGAAATTAATTAATTGCAGAATGGGTCTCAAGCGTGATTATGAACGCTGCTGTTGACGGAATAATCACTTTTAGTGATTAAGATACGGGTGGGGGAGAGCGAAACGCTCCACTGAATCAAAAGTGGATTAATAGCTTATTCAAAAATTTCGAAATTCTTTCAAAGTTTGTACTTTTTAGACATCTTCTTGCACAAAAAAAAATCAATTTCCAGGAACATGTCACTGATTTTTAGGAATCTATCACAAATTATTGGCGGCACTGGACACTGAGTAGAGTAACTCTGATCATCAGTGCCTCCATCACTGAAATTTTTTGATGAATTTTTATCAATTACAGTTGGATCTCTTGTAAATCAGTGGCATTTCGCTGAAAATTAGCGAATATCTCCCAAAAAATTAGTGATGTTGTCACTTGAAATTAGTGATAATGCCACTAAAAAGTAATGACAAAATCACTGAATTATAGGATTTTTCACAAATGAAATTTCCCAATCGCGACAATATTTTTGAAACTAATTGTCAACTGATATTGTACGTGTAATCGATCAATAAAACTACTCATATGTACGTCAACTCATTAATCATTAATTTTATAAACTCATTTTAACGGACAAAAATATGAAGTGTTAAAATCATTTTAAATTGAAACCTTGTGACCCAAGTGATTCGTTTATTTATGCTTCATAGAGTGGTGTTGAATTCTCTTGTTCGTTACGCGGGCTTCATGAAAATTCGACGCAAGCCGATTGTGCTCATGAAAACCGCCTTCACTACAAAAACCAGGTGTCTGACAGCTATCTGAATTTAAGATGTCAGATGGAAAAAAACGTCTGAATCTTCAAAAGTGTCTGAAAATCTGACCAATGTCTGAAAATTTCAATCACCATTTCTGTACGAAAATGATGGTAGACATTTTTTGTGTCTGAAAAATTTCAGATATTTTCTGTCTGAAATTCAGTTATTTATGAGCGATTCAAACATTTCACTCTTAAGATATCTCACCTGATTCAGACGGCAAGGCAATTGACACATTAATTTTTAAGATATTTCTCACGTCTGAAAAGTTGACTCATCCACTGCAAAATCTAGGTGTCTGACAACCATCTGAATTTAAGATATGGCAGATGGCAAAAACATCTGAATCTATAAAAGTGTCTGAAAATCTAACTGATGTCTGAAAATTTCAAACACCGCATGTGTCTGAAACTGATGTCTGTATCTTAATTTCAGACATCTTGGTGTCTGAAATTGAAATACCTCCACTGAATCCGACACATTTTAATGTCTCAAAAGTGTTTGAAAAATGTCTAAAAAAGTGTCTGAAATTCAGCCATTAGTTTTCGCAGTGTTCCTTTCTCCATTCGTTCGAGCTCTCATTTTCAATTCGAGATATTGTCCATGCCGTTTTGTTTAGAAACGATATGATCTACCTCTCTCCGAATAAACTCGTAAAATACTTCCTCTTTCAAACAACACTGTCTTATATTTAACCCTTGACTCTCCAGAGACATCACCACAAGCCCCGTCAGTTAATTTATCGGCCGACAATGGCAATTAACGTGATTTTTCAATCTTTCCTTCACCCAACGCATGTTCATTTATCCATATTCCTTTTTTCTAAACATTTTTTTCTACCGCACCAACATTTATTACACGAGGAAGTGAGAAGAGAATGGGTAAGAGAGAGGAGGACCCCGCACACTCGGGGTCTCTCAGTTCATTTGTCAGCGACTGCCCGAGACCCGACACGATTTTTCAGTTCTTTCCCCCCCCCCATCCTCAAACTGCACGTTACCCCTTTCCCTCGTGTCATAAATGGGGATCATACCTCGTGCGCGGGCGTGCTGTTATCACCAGGGATTATCATCGCTAGTTTCTACATGATTGATTACACCTCCGGACGTCTCAATATTTTTTTTTTACTACAAAAATGTATTTTTCATCTCCTCCATTTCTCATTCGCTCTCTCATTCATTGTCTTAGGTATCAGTGTCAGTTGGAGGTGGAAAAAAAGAACTCGCGGAACAGATCAGTAATATAATCTGGACTCAAATATAGGGGAATAAAAACATTGTGGAATTGGTGAAACGTACAGGCGAAAAACATGTTATGTTTGAATGAAAACCTGTTTTTTATGTTGGTTTCAATAATATGTTTTGGAATTTAATAGATGAGTTGATTCATATCGATGAAAAGTTTTCAATTGTATGAAATGTAATGGATTCAGTAACTCTGAGTGAAGGATTATTGGAGTGATTTTATTATTACGATGGTTTCATTTTTAATGGATGAAGTCTCTAGTTGATCGAAATAAACATTTGGTTATATTTGAAGCAACTGTTGTAACTGTTGTTGAAGTGAATGAGGAAGCAAATGAAAATTAGTTTCAAATTTTTTGATGAAATTTCCGGTGCACTTCTCGGAAATTTTTATCGCATTCTAGTTCTATTGAAATTTTAACAAATTTCGTCATTAAAAATTCAACATTTCATAGAAAAATTAACGATAACTGTAAATTCTAGTTCGGTTATCTCGTGAAAATTAGTAGAAGATATTCTTGAATTTTCAAGTTATTGACAATTTAGCGAAAATTGATACTGAGTATTCACGTTTTGTATGAAAATTCAAGGAAGTTGGGTAATTTCCGTTTTTTGTTGCTCAAAAATTTGGAACTTCGTTCAATTTTCAGCGAAAATTTCATGTTTGTTTCCCCTTAAATCGAATTCAATGTCACTCTCCGGAAAATTACTAGTCACCTGTCCATGAAATTTCGATTATTTTCTAACCGTGTAGTTGAACCCTGGCATTAACATTTCACCCTAGGTTACCGGACATTTTGCAATGATTTCATTATTCTAATTTCGGAGGCCTAAATTTACACTGATAGAAATTTTTTGGAATTCATAGAAAATATTATGGTAATTCTCATGAGAGTGACATTGAATCGGATTGAGGGAAAAAATGGTTATAAAATTTCAAGTTTTAGGTAGAATTCAAGGAAATTCATGAGCTTTCAGTGGGAGTGAGATGGAAATTTCACAACTTAAATGAATTGAATGTATTTCAATTAAATGAAATGAAACAGAATATTGAGAAATAAAAGTGACATGAATTTTCAATTTTTCCCTGAGTTTTCCTGATTTTTCTGAATTTCCACGGAACAATTTAACTGACAACTCAAGTATTTTATTGATTGTCAGATCTTTCGAACGGAAAATCAATGGAATATTTTATTTTTCAATGGCAATATTTTCTAAAATTTCAGTGGAAATTGAACACTAAAAATTTGCAGGATTTGGCACGGAAAATTCTGACGAAATTTTTTAACAGTGTAATTCTTCATTTCGAACCGTTAGGAACCACGAAAATAATTCAAGAGAATTCAAAAGTCCAGTTTTAGAGAAAGCTTAGAAAAACGAGGTTTCCGAAATTTTTGAAATCTTAGTCATTAAATTATTTATTTATAAGGGAATGTTAAAATTGCACAATGTTATCAGAATTGAAATTGCAGAATGTTATCAGAAGAGAGGTGCATATCTATGGATTTTTTCACTGTTCTCAGGAAAAAGATGCTTGGATACCCTTAATGAAAAAAGGTCCACTGGAGTGGAAAGGACCGACTTTTATTGCCAAAGACTGTCTCTCGAAAAATACACAACCCAGAGGGGATTAGTGATATCATCCCGGAGGAGGTAGACACGAATAAAAGGTGACACAAAGGGAGAATACATCGGTGGCTTTTCCAATGGAAACAGGGCCAGTGCGAGAGAAAATAAAACGATTCCGTTTTCATCAGTGCAAATAAACAAAACAATTTAGCGGGGATAAATCGGTGTCGATCGGGAATTTGGACGGTTGCCCAACGTGATTGCGCAACGGGTTACAGTGCGTTCATGTGTGGTATTAGTGCGGTGGTGGGTTTGAAAGAGGAAGGAAGTGTTTATTAAAATCTACGGTGTCCATCTAATCCACCGGGTGTAACGACTCCAACGTTTACGTGTCAGGAACGAAAACTATGCGGTACGATGAGGGGGCCAAGAATCGGTGGCCTACCGAGTGCGACAGAGTTGGAGATGAGCCAGATGAGGGCACGAATTTATATCGTCATCGTAGCATTCTTCGTTATTCATCCAAACACTTCGATATCTGGTTCGTATTTTTATATTTTTGCTTTCCAATCGAAGCTTTGTAATCGTCCATTTTGACGATCCTGTAATTTCACCCGGAAATTATGTAGAACGTCATGAAACGTGACGATACGATGTTTTTAGAAAATATGTGTGTGTGTCCGTATGTATGTGCGGATTTTTCGAATTTTTTGCTCCCGAATGGAAGCATTGTAATCGTTCAAATTTAAGTTTTGCATTTTTTGTGTTATATTGAGTCATTAGGATCCAAAAAGTACGAAAATGCCATTTTTAGACCGTGTCCGTACACGGAGAGAAAAGTTGGATAAAAATTACCTCGAAAATCGTGAAAATCGTAATTCCGTGAAAAAATACTGATTTTTAATGGATATTTGTGTACGTCCTCGTGAAAAGGGCCCACTTTGTCGCATCTAGTTTCCGAGATATTCACGTTTTTCTCTCCACATCTCCCATTTAAACCAATGTTAAATTGTTTTTTTGATCGTCTATACTGACGTCAGTTTTCATTCTATCAGGTTGATTTTGGGCTCAAAATGTGAGAAATCTGATCAAGATTATCGGAACATACATAACTCCAATACCGTCAAAGTGGGCCCTTTTCATGTGGACGCCCATATTTTACCATTTTCTCGGTAAAAAAATACAAAAATTATCCTCCTGTTTAGTAAAATTTCCCACACCGGCAGGGGATTGTTTGTATTGTACCCGTCTGAAGGTGATGGGGCCGAGCGGAACTGAATTTTTGCCAAACTGGTTCGGTAAAAATCATTCTCCGTTACAGAAAAATCATACAAAAAATTGGAGTAATTATTTACGTTCACTGGGATAATTTTTGATGGGATGCAGGGTAAATTTTACAGTTTCCGTACAAATCACCTTCATGTTTCGTAAATTTTCCCGGGCCAACGGAGTAAAATACACAATTAATCTCGCAGCTTTCCCCCTAATATTTAAGGTGAAAAAGTACTGGAAATCGAGGTTGCTCCACGATTACTTGATTTGTTTGGTAATTTTTCTCCACCTTCTTTCTCCGCGTAATACTCCCCCCATGAATTGAACGACTGACGGCATTTTGCGCGATTATCAAGACCATAAATTATGAAGTTTGAGGTGTTCTCCCCTTGAATGAATTCAAGTGGCGATTAGAGACGCGAAAAGTTTGTCAATCGGGGGATTTACCGGATTACACGGTGGGCAGGGGAACTGGTGGAACGGACCCAGGAGGAAGTTAATGACAATACACGTGTCCACAGTATCACAGCACGAAATTAAACTCATACAGCCCTGGCTCGTGCTTTCATTTCTTGGGAACTAGTGTACACAGGGCAGGCACTTCATTCTCTGCTATTTCCACCGGTCTCTTGGTGTTGGTGTGTACAGAACAGCTTGTGTACCGATTTTAACACAGCCCTTCCTCTCCCTCCTTGCCCAGTACAGCCTGGCCGCCCTCAGACGAAAAAGCATCTTCGTCACAGACTGGTGGGTGAGGTTTGAAGCTTTGAAGGGACTCGAGGGGGAGGTGGATGCTGAAAATTCCACGTCTAATTGCCGACTTCACGGGACCGGGGTTCTTCATCCTGGTATTCCTTTTGAATGTACAATTTTTTTTATGCTCCTGAATTCATCTGCAGAAATAGCGGACGAAAAAGTACTGAAAGAGACAGAGTACGAGAGATGTGGAATTAATTCTGGCGAGTGGTGGAGAAAAGTTTAATTTGGATGTTTAAATATGCAGCATATACGTATTATCTCTAGGGATAGTCGAGTATTCAGGGAATTTTTGAGGTGAAATACTTTTCAAGATGCATCAGAGCTTCCATTCAAGTCTAATTTCTCATTGGTTATCGGACATTTCACTGCTTTTTTTTATTTTATGGAATTTTAATGGAATGAAATGTTCATTAGCCATTTTGAATTGTTAGGAAATATGTTTAAATGATGGAACACCAGAGCTTCCTTTTAAGCCCCACTTTGGCTCTAGATTTCGGGACTTTTCTCCATTATTTTCGAGTTTAAATTTCAAAAGAAGTTAATTTAATTCTTACCTTTTAAGTGTTAAAAAACATTGCTAGAATCTAATAGAATTATAAAATCTACTTTTGAAGAAAAAATTATGAAATTACAGAAAAGTTGAAATTTTTTGAGATTAACGAGCGAGAGACAGAATAAGAGATGTGGAATTAATTCGGGCGAGCGGTGAGAAAAGTTCAATTTAGGTATTTAAATATGCAGCATATACGTATTATCTCTAGGGATAGTTAAGTATTCTTAAAATTTTGTAGGTGAAATACTTTTCAAAATGCATCAGAGCTTCCATTCAAGTCTAATTTCTCATTGGTTATCGGACATTTCACTGCTTTTTTTTATTTTATGGAATTTTAATGGAATGAAATGTTCATTAGCCATTTTGAATTGTTAGGAAATATTTTTAAATCATTGTTCATTGATGTCCGTCGAGAATATTGAAGTACTGCACTGATAGAATGATTCATTTATTCCAAACGAGGTTCGTTAACTATTAACGAATGGTAGAGTTGAATATGACCAAATGAATATTCGTTAATAGTTAACGAATGGTTCACTTGAATGGCGAACGTCAAGTCAAACAAGGCTCTTCAAATATACATTCGTTAACTACTAACGAATGAACATTTAGTGGGACCGAATAGACCCTAACCTCCAACCAAAATCCATTCGTTAACAATAACTAATCCGTTCTATCAGTGTGCCCTTTTCTTTTTTTAGCCCCATTTTGGCTCTAGATTTCTGGTCTGTTCTCGATGATTTTCGAGTTTAAACTTCGAAAGAAGTCAATTTAATTCTCAATTTTCAAGTGTTAAAAAACATCGCTAGAATCTGACAGAATTATAAAATCTACCTTTGAGGAAAAAATTATAAATTACAGAAAAATTCTAATTTTTGGAGATTAACAGGTTTTTTCAGTAACAATTTGCAATTTTGACCCTTTGCATTGATTCATCCATTCAAACCTTCTGAACTATCAACTTCATTTACTTTTTTTGAACTGGAGGTGTAAAATTTATTACGCGTCAGAATAAAATTTGATTATCATATATTAATTTTTACTAAATTTCGGAGTAGAAACGAGGAAACGATGACTCATGATACACTTTTATAGAACGGTAGGGTAATTTTTATCAAAAATTTGTCTCCGTGTAGGCAGCGCTGTTGCCGCAGCCAGCTGTCTATCCCTTAGGGCGTCGTAGTACGAATGTGACAAAGTGGCCCTCTTGAAAACAGTCACACTTTGATGGCAAAGATGACATTCAAGTCCTCAAAATTATGAAATTTAATGAACAACTTGCCGGTGCGTGATTAATCCGCCAGTAATTGCTGGATTTTCTCCTTAACTTCTCTGAAAAAAAATATTTTCAACCACTCACCTCCCAGCTATCTCAACGACTCGTAGTATGACGTAAAATAAAAGCCCTCTCTACTTCATTCCGTAACTCTGTAAACTCTGAAGAGAATTTGAAACTTCGATAATTCAAAAGTCATTTCTTTTAGTTGGGACGGAAACTTCGTAATGCATGTGCGTTTTGTATGCGACATATAACGTTGAACAATTTTCTGGATATGAGAGAAAAAATCCGAGGTTTAAGGGGTGAGATGAAAATGCGGCTGGTGCTGATGCCTTACGTAGTGTCCTCAGCGCCGGCAGTTACTCACGCTTAGGACAATTTAGCTTAATTAATTAACTGGCGTTGTGACGGGGTGTTAATTCATGCTCATAGAATGATTCACGGGAGTACTGGCTAATGTCGTCTACGTAATTCCTCACTCCCCAATCTCATTTTACTTTTGGCGTCATTGTCTTCAGGGGAAGACAGAATTTTTCGGTGGAAGAAGAATTTTGTTTCATTCATAATCATTTGGAAGAGGAGGGGAGCACTGGGATTTCAAGAATTTTTGGTTGATTTGTCTTGTATGAGTTTGGGCTTATAATTCACTGTTTGAAAAAAAATGAAATTTCAGGTTTCACTGAAAATTCTGTAAAATTCCAGCATTTTAAGCAGCATAAAGACGAGAATTCAGTGAATATGAATATTCAGTGCCGAATTACATTAAATTTTCAGTGAAATCTGCAATTTCATGATTTTTTCCTTCTAAATTGTATTCAATGTCACTGCCCTGGAAATTCAAGAATATATTGTATCTGCCGGAATTTTCTGGTTTTCTATTTATTTTCAGGGAAAAATGGAACTGAAATTTAGACTTCTCTTTGATTTTTCCACGAAACTCTGAATTCTCAATGACGAAATTCCTTGAAATTTCAGTGGTAATTAAATTTGATAAAAATTTCCAAAAAGTGGACCGGAAATTTCAGACAAAAAATTTTAACAGTGTATGTTGGGATTTATTATTTTTGTTCCGACTCTGAAGTGATAGAAAATAATTGAAATTACATTCATTCAATTCGGTCGGAGGGAATATATTCGGGAATTTCAGATTTCACTGAAAATTCAAGAATATATTTACCTGAATTTTTTATATTTCTATCAATTTTCATGCGGTAATTGAACTGAAGTTTACAGTTTCCATGATATGAAATGAATAATTCACGTATTTCAAAAATAAATCCTCTATTACAATCACATAAACAATTATTTATAATAAAAAATGAATTCCTTCAATGTGAATACAACTGCAGACAGAAAACATGTTTAAGTTTATACAAAAGTTTACCTTAACCTATTCAAATTAAATTAATTTCATCCTCTGGATGCAGTCATTGCTTGTCTTTACATTCAATCATTTACTCAAATCATTTCTCCCCCACGCGTAAAAAACTCCGAAAATCTGTAATAACACCTTTACTCCATCCCTAAAAAATAAATCACGCAGAGTCAATCTATCACTCGTTTATCATCAATTCAGCACACGTAACCCATCGAATCAAAACGCTCAACGAAAATAAAATTCCTTTGAAATCCATGGGATTACCCACATTGGTGGGATACTGTACTGCTGTGTGTGTTA